ATGCAAAATAAGTTATCACGTCATAAATGCTCAACTAGAACAACTTTTTTCGTTCTTTTTTCTAATATGTCTCCCTTAGCCTGTGTCATCGTCACTCTCTTAAACTATGCCTTTTTCTTTGACATCATTAAGTCACCATCGGTCAGTTTTTCTTAACTTAACTGTAGTATCATCTGTTAGTAATAAAAACGCCGACCCCTCACAAGCTTCAAGTTTTCTTTTGATGTAAAGAGACCTATTCACGTTTTGATCTCTAAACGCCCTTTTTTTTTTGTATATCGACAACGCTACTACAGATTTTAATCTTGCCCTTTATATGTACTTTGGAGGATATGACGGCTTACTACAATGCTATCCGGTGTGATATACGATGTCTGTAAGGGAAGCAAATGAATTATGTCAAGTTCTCCACACAAGAAAACGATGGTACATAACAACCACATGTATGGCGACAGTTCAGGGTCGAAACAGCGAGTGGGGATTTTTAAGTTAAAACCGAGCAAAGATGAATCGCTCATTTGTTTATTATAAGCCTGTATTATTAAGTCTACAAACTCTAATTTGCTGATAGAGATCACTGTCACTCTGAAGATGATGCCTCCATTTTATTTATCGTTTATAAAGTAGTTTTCATTTGTCTAAATTTAAAGATGTCATTTGACATTTTGTTTTTCACATGCTAACAGCGATGATTGGTTCCACTGATAAGATTAGGCAAGATTTTTTTTATTTAATAAGTGTGTGGGTATATATAAAAAGTAAAAAGAATTTACAGAGCAATCCAGGTTTTGAGGATACTATCGGCCAATTGGAGCTGGTCATTGCCCATAAGCGGTGTATTTTTCTTTATCCAGATCTTTTGTTCAACGTTGTCTAATTGATTGATAATGAAACTGCCGTCATCGGACTCTGTGCCTCCTTCAACATGAATGTGGGGTTGTAAATGACGAATCAAGTGTAGTTTTCCTTGTTCTGAAGAACAATGAAGAATCTTTCTGGAATCTAATAATAAATTGGGATTATTGTTCAGGAGTTGAGTGATTTGATGACGCTCTTTATCCGAGTTCATGTGGATTATGACGTATATATCATGAATCTGAGCAAGTCTATTTAATAATGGCACTGTGTTCTCATGGAACGCGTGGTTAGGTGTGTTGACATCACTGCTGGGATTCCACAAGACAGTCTGTAACAAATGTGTGAGTCATTTATATCTCAATTATATCAATCGGGGTGCATGACTTACGTTTTTCAGGGAAATGGTCATTCTCTTTCGCTTACGAGTGGCCGAAATGACACCATCAATCAAGCGTGTGCTCCAGCTTTTGTTTGCAGCAACAGCAGCAGTGGAATAAGTAGGCTGTGGGGAAGGTGGAGGAGTCAAGAGCTGTCTCGATGCATGCAGGTTAGCTAAACTGCTAGTAGATCGGATGCTAATCTCTAAGGGTTTCTTCTTTAATAATGTCTTTTTATCTTCTGTAATGGCTGTATGCTTCTTATAACAATAGATGAGCATGCTGACAATGGCTGCTGCAAAAGAAGAATAACCCATCCACTTCATCAATAGCACCGCTAACCATTTATTGTTGTGGCGAGCTGGAATTAACTGAGTAGCCATTATAATCAATACTAAAAAAAATTATAAAAAAAAGATGGGGGATAATTAAAAAAATAAAAAGGGGGTTAGAGAATATACTCATATTTATACCTTTTTTTTTTTTTAATGATGTTATTTCACATGTCAGTGGTATTCTTGTGTTTCTTTTATTCCCCCCGCATTTTATATATTATAATAAAAATTTTAGCAGCCCGGAGCACACAAACATGTATGTAACCATGGTTTTTATTTTATATCTCTGTTTACATCTAGCGTACACCTCGTGAATACATCAAGCTTAGATAACTCTAAACAGACATGACATAAGAAAGCTATTATTTATTTATTATGAGGCAGGATCACGGGTGTCTTTTTTATACACACATCGTCGGGGTTCCTCACAGCGCTTTCCGAAAATAAAATAGAGGTGTCGTATGCATACGCTAAAGTTGGCTTTGGTTTCTACCTAACAACGGGCTGTTCTTACTAGAAGTAACTCTAATCCATCATCAACCTTTTTTTTTCCGGTGTATTATCTGTATCAACCATGATGCGAAGAGAAGATAAAAATAGTATTATAAGATATTTATATAAAATAGGTGGTACAGAAGGGGGGCTGTTATTTACAGGTGGGGTATAATTGTTGTCAATAGGTGGGAGAACTTGGTACTTCAGAAGCTCTTTTCACTGCCAATGAAAACTGTGAGCCTGGATCAAGTACCAAAAAGGACGTCTTTTCCAGCTGATCCTGATTGTTATAAGCTTGTTTTTTCCGTTGCTGATATAATTTGATTGTGAATACGAATGCAACTAGGAACGATAGAAATAAAATGACTCCTAATACACAGCCAATGATCTATTTTTTTTTATATACAAATATGTTCCTTTAATTTAATGCACCACACACACACATAATTTACACTAAAGATACGCTACCAGATTTTTTCGATCGCGCGTTATATGAGCAGTGTCGTCTGCGGGAGTCGGTAAAGTGCCGGTGTAAAATCCATTGTCTGTGACGGAGGCTGATCTTATATCATCAGGTACACGTGGGAAAAAAGTCCATTAAATTACTTATACTTACAAGAAGGCATGGTAGTGAAAGATGATGGCAAGGCTATGGTGTTCATCGGATATATTAAGAAGAAGAAAAAGTGGGAAATATAAAAAAGAAAGGAGGATTTTTATTTATTTACTAATTGAGGCTGAAGATGGCTGACAACTTATTGGCTGATCAGAGGGAAGACGGCTTAGAATCCCTCAATATTTAATTAACGTGCTTTACTCAGCAGCAAAAAAGCAGCACAGGCAGCAGAAGCAGCAGCAGCAGCTGGACAGTTGTGGTGCAAATCCCTTTTTAGAGTAAAGTTTAAAATGATGGATGACGTCGGATGTTCTGATGAAAATCAAGACGGAATGTGACGTGACTATTCAAACATGCTTGTACCTCAATTACAAAAAAACTATAATAGCCCCGGTTGACACATGTTTGATGAGGGGGAATGTGTTACAGTCCAGATCCCGAGCTTATTTGTAAGTTAAACAATGAACAAAAAGAAGACTGAAAAAAAAATAAATTTTGAAAAGCCTCCTTTTTTTTTTTTTTTTTTTTTTTCTAATATATTTTTTTTTATTTTTTATTTTTTACCCCCGCTTTTTATTCCTTGTACGATTTTCTTTTATTTTGATATAAACCCTTTTTCCTCTTGTAACTTATTAATGGCACAAGAAATAAATACTCACCGTGTCTTGACTATTGCTGGTTCTGTGGCTTTAGTTGCCTTGACAGCTTACGGTGTTTGGAAATGGAACAAGACAGGTAAAACATATCCATGGGAAACCACTTTTTTTTTTTTGTTTGTTTCCTTGCCAATAAAGTATTAACACGCGAAGCTATTTAGATGTTAAGAACGAAGACGACAAGAAGAAAAAAACTAGACAGGTGGAGAAACAGTCACACCTAACAGAAGGTAAGAATTAACCCATTGATAAAATGTGTCAACCCGCTGACCTCATTCCTCCCCCCCTTTTCCTCTCTCATTAGAAAAAGAAACCCTCAAGGAACTTGAGCATATTATTGAGTCTGTGCAAACAGAGCCTGAGATCGAGGAGCAAGTGGTAGTGACTGAGGTTGAAGTGGTGGAGGTGGTTGAAGCCGCCAAGGCAGAGACACCCAAGGCAAAAGAAGCCAAGGTGGAAGCACCCAAGGCGGAAGCACCCAAGGTAGAAGAAGAAGCCAAGGTAGAAGAAGCACCCAAGGTAGAAGCACCAGTGGTGGTCAAGGAAGCAGTGGTTGAACAAGTGTTGGTAGAGGCTGAACAAGTGTTGGCTGAGATCAACAAGGTAGTGACTGAGACGGAGGCAGTTGTTACTGAGGCTAGAGAAGCTAGCAAGGAGGAAGAAGAGGAGTATGTTGTTGTTGCAAAGAGAGAAGAGAGCCAATCGTGTGCGACTAGTAGCACAGAGGAGACGGATGTTTGGACACCAGAACATGAATCCGACAACCATAAAAATAATACCCCCGAACCTACCACCACTCCCATTACCACCACCACTCCTACTACTACTACTTCTGGTAAAGCCAACGAAGAGTACATTTGGAAGGCTGATGCTACTGCCACCAGCAATACGGAGGAAGGAAAAGACTGGGCATCTTCTACTATTGTGAGTTGCTCCAAACTTTCATCAGATGCACCCGTCTTTGTACCTCGTCAACAAATGAAGAAGAACCCCAAAAAGCGTTTATCCCGTGCTGAATTAATTGAACAACAACGTCAAAACCACACACCACATGCCAAGGCAAGATGTAGTCACTGGCCTCGTTGTACCAACAAGAACTGTAAATTCTGGCATCCATTTAGAGACTGCCGGTAAGTCATCACTAATTTATCACTCCTTTATTTATCTAATACTTATTTTATCAACTAAAAAAAAAAAAAAAAAAAAGTGAGGGAGAGACTTGTCCCTTTGGTAACAAGTGTATGTTTATTCATCCCTCAGATTATGTAGAACCACCTCGTGTTAAAAAGAATCAAACTTCTGATGAGGAGGAACAATTCATTCAACAAGATCAATTCCAGTTCGCAGCATAAAAAAAAAAAAAAAAAAAAAAAACTTAACAAATCAACCATTTTATTATGTATATACAAAAAAATTTCTTTTTCGCCCCTCCCTCTCCCCCTCTCACAGTGAAAAAGGAATTCGATGGCATCACTTATTATTTTAGACGTAGCTGTCTGTAATTTATGCAATATGCATTATAAACAAATATTTGCATCGTCAAGAAAAAGAATAAAAGAAAAGGGGGTGTAATTGCACACAAAAAATGTCAAATTGTATTAAGATTTTTGTTTGTTTAAACGAGTAAAAATATATAAAAAAAAGGGGGTTAAGCTGAAGCATGAAATCTTCTACAGTGTCTTACATAACTGTATTTTGAAGACAATGTCCTGTCGCAATCCTTACAATAGTTTTCCCTGGGGGGACGTCTTCTTATTGTAATAATCACTACAGGAGAAGATGATCGTGATCGTGATTGTGAAAATTCTCTTGCTGTTTCTATCGTTGTTTCTGTTGTAGTTGTTGCTGGTGATGGCGGTGTTGGTGATTGTACTTTACGCGCTGTAATATTATGCTTTGCATTCAAGTGACGTTTAAATCCAGCTACGTTTTTGTAGGCATAATCACACGTTCTACAGTAGAAATTAGGATCATCCAGCTCGGGTGGTAGATGAGGTTGTGGGTTTATTCTTCTTTTCCTGGTGGGTTTAGCAACGCGGTCAGTGCGGTATTGTAACCGGTGCTGGTCGTGATCATTCTTGGTGTGAAAGCATTTTTGACAATTGTCACAAGTTTGCTGTTCTTCAGGTGTAGCTTCGGTCTCCTCTGAAAAGACAGATTCACGGGTCATGGAATGCACACAAATCAAATGGTATTGGTATGTCACTTTGGTATTAAAGTAATCTCGACAGACGCGACAGAAAAACTTTCTATCGTTAACATCAGGCATCATGTATGGATTCGAGGTTGCTCTTCCCGGTATAGGCCATCGGCCAGTATGAACTAAGCTCATGTGGCTCATGTAGGTGATGTAACTGCTGAAATGTTTGTTACAATTAGGGCAATACAATATCACCTTCAAGTGAGCTAACTCACTATGCTGTGTTCTGATGTCCTCCTTAAAGACTACTCCATCGGGTATATTGTGCATATGGATTAAGTGAAATCCATATGTGTATCGACCGGAAAAGGTTATTTCACATACACGGCAATGATAATTGGGATCGTTGACGTCTGGTGATCGGGAATTATTGTATAGTGATTTTAAATATATACTTGTCTCTCCTTCCCTATTCTCTTTTTGCTTGCTTTCAACTTCGTCTGTCTCTCTTTGAACCTTTTTTATCATTTCGGCATAGGTCAGTGATCTTTCCTTCGCTGGCTTTACTATCTTCTTCACTGGTTTTTTCACTTTATTGACAGGTGCAATCTCTATACGAGACACTGCTTCGTCTGAAGGTTGTTCTCCATTGGTAGATTCTACTCCTGTCATGTCCTCGTTGAAAGAGTTTTCTAGCGCTAATTCTTCAATTAAATTTTCGTGTTTAATTTCTACGGGTTCGTCTTTCGCGTCCATAAACGCCGGTTCTTCTTCAGATACAATGTCCATGGCTTCATACTCATTGGAGTCGGGTAAGGGTGATAAATGAGCAGCTGCTCTCAAGTCGTAAAAGGTGTTTGTCTCTCGGTCAGAGTGCTCATCATATTGCATGTAAATGTCCATTTCAGTGTCAAGACTATCGTGTAAAATTACTCTTTTATTGGCTTCGGTAATTGTCATTTTGTTTTTGAAAGGAAATAAAAATGTTTTCATCCTCCCCCCTTTTTTTATTTACTTTGTTTCAAAAGCTGTCATACATGTTCTGAAGCTATATATTCTTCAGCATTATTTGAAAGCGATTTACGTGCTTGAAGTAATTGCTATCATTGATTTCGCTTGTAAGTTCTTAGAGATCCATAGATTCTTGAGGTACCTGTCTGTTTTCATCTTCTACGAAAGACGTTCAAGTGAAGCACTTTGAGCTGACGATGCATTACCACAATTCTTACGTCAGGTTTACGCCCAAAAAAAAAAAAAAAGATGAATCATCCAATTCATGTTAAGAACGTAATGTACTATATAAACCATGCATTTTTCGTAAATAAATATCGGTCTAATTAACCGAGATTGTGATTATCAAGTGAACTTGCGTAAAGTACATCTTGTTACACAGCCTGATGTAAACTTTGTCGTTTTGGTGGCCAGAGACGGAACGTTCTTCTTTTTTTCGTACTTGTGTTTGCCATTTTTATTTTTAAACTACAATGCTTTTCACGCTTTAAATTCGGACGAACTAATACCATTGATTAATGATTCCACCGCTGGTGGCTTTGTTTTATTGTTAAAAACAGCTTCTATGTTACTTTTATACTACCAATCACCAGAACATTAACTATTTTTTCTCTTGGACTTTGTGTGACATAGTTGAAATGGAGACGTCCTACAGTAGTTAGGAAGACATTAAAAGCTAATAATCTTTGATGACCTGATAGGTTATAAGTCACGTATTGTAAATGGTGTGAAATTCTAGCTGCCATATGTGTAGATACGTTAAGATGTATATCTTGCCTGTTTTTAAAACATTATGTCCTTCCCTTTCGTGTCATTCGGAACCTGTCAAAAACCTGACAACTTAATGCGCGAGTCTTCCAGAGCCAGTCAATTTTCCTAAAATGCCAAGAGGTCAAGATATGCCATCGCCTTCAAAATGAATGCGAATTCATTACAATAAACATTTAGTCTTACCGTCTTCGTGTGGTAGCGTTTTGAGATGTATGTAAACTACAAAGTTATTAAAATTATTTTGGATTGTTTATAAAATAAAATGATATAAAAGGACTATTTTCTGTGCTACTATCTTTAATGTATCTTTGCAGTTGTTATTGGTATCCCAATATGTACCTTGTTATCTATAGCTGCTTATTTCGTAAATATATACACTCGAAAGTACTGTCATCTTAGACACACACTGTACTTCCATATCTTAGTAAGCCTTAGTCACTGTCTTATTGTAAGCGTATGTGATATGATAGAACTGACTATCTAAATTGGGTAATTGGTTCCTTAATCATCCTTAATGTATTCAAGTCATAGATATAAATTTATTTTATGTAGCAATAATATAGCAGATCACCACAGAAGCGACTGATAATTAGCTCATTGTACAGCTTACACTCTTCGTAAGTGTGAACGGGCGTCAGTGCAAATTTGATTCATTGTCTACTAGACAGATAATGATATTTATTTTACCTGGTTGTTCTCAATGCGCCTGAAAATACTTAAGGATTTGTGTTGTTATCCGGCATGGAATTCAACATCAGCATCTTTATCATAGACAGTTTTACTGCAACAAGAGAGCTCACTTCCAAAACATCTAGGATATTTTTTAGTTATCATTAATCAACGTAAAAAAACTTGAATATAAATATTCGACTAGTTTCCTTGGGTCAATACTTGCATATTTAAACCTTTTCCGTTATTGATTAGTTTTCTTTCTTGTGACAATAATTCAGTGAATATTGTCTCCAGGGTAAGATTTAACCGAAAGTATCTATAATCTTCTGAAAAATAGGGCATATTCCAAATTGTTCGAAATCAACAAGATGGTGAGAGTTACCATAAGAATCAGCACATGACGGAATAAATTCTTGATCAACATCAGCACGTAACGTACTTAGAGCTTGAACAAGCCATGGGTTGTAATGGCTAATATTTCCTTAATATTGAAGCTATTTCTGCTTCCAACCTAATTACATACTTAATAAATCACTCGCTAAATCAAATTTTGTAGCTCTTATCTTACTAAAATGTAGTAACGCAGACGATAGTCAACGAGAACGCAATCAGCCAAAATTGGGCCTGCATTGAAAGAACTAAACTTTCTGAAAATATTTTGATGAAAGCCACCTTCGACAGAGTTTTACTCTCGTACAACAATAGACAGGCAAACCACACAAATCTTTTTTGACAAAATAAGAGATCAAAACTCCAGGAGGATCGCTGGCATGACTTTTTCTAATAGCTTCCAAAACAGCTTTGGCTTGCTTCCAGCCTTGTCTATCAAAAATCAAAAAGCTAATTACAGAGCACTTGATGTAGCCGTAAACATTAAAGAGATTATCGACATCATCTCTTTGATCATGATCAATATTGACATCTGAAAGAATATTGACGTTATCATCATTCTGATGCCCTAAAAAAATGAGCCTCTTAATTACTATTCTCGTCATCCTCAACTACCATATCCAAATCTGTTTAAAACAAATATCATAATGAATAAAATAAAAATCTATACTAATAGATCTACCTACCAAGTGCAATAGGAATATCATCATCGATAACTTTGGGCCTGATAAAAATTATGAACAGGTGTATCTCCAGAATTTGGTAAGGGTTACAGCGATACCTCAGTAGAAAGTGGCGTTGTTGATTTCAGTTTTAACTGCTTGAAACCAATAACAATTTTAATCCATGTTCCATTCTTCAACGCACTTGTATTCTAAAACTTCCAGACTACACTTTTTCGTTTCAAAACCATGTGTGATAATTGAGGAATAAAAAGGGAAATGTAAATTGGAAAATAAAGAAAGTAAAGAAATGAGACTCTATAATCCTTTCTTATGAGTTGGAGAGTTTGTCCTGATAAAAATACAGGTCCTTTTTATATTCAATTATCACTTCAAGATTTTTCCTGCGCAGATCGAATTGACTATTTACCCACAAACTGGGAAATGGTAGAATTAGATTTAAAAATCAGTTACATATGAAACATAGCTTATTGTTATATACAAGGAGCTAGTTGACCCATATCCGGCACTTCTAGAGCATTATAGTTTATCTAATCAATGACAGACTCCTTGATTGGATTACTAAAATAAATTTATGAGAAACTAGGATATTTGGCAGCTACTCGACCAATCCAGGAACGATTATGGAATCTGATCTCAGTTTGACATATGAGAGAGCTGGTACTGTGTCGTACCAATAGGAATGTATTCGCAATATGGTACTTATAATACATAGGTTATATGTATTATAAGTGAGTGACAAGATAAGAGTAATTATATTCGTGGAATTAGGCGTCAAATACGACACCATGAACCAAAGAAAAGTGATTGACTATAGTAGCAAATACTAATATATCCGTGATCTCAATAACAGCAATATTTCTTATGAACTTTCTTTTGTCTTTCTTGAATAGTTGCAGAACCTATATAGTAACAGTCAATCATGATATAACAGTTTAAAGTATATTTTGATTAATACCTTCAAGTTTGTTACAATTCCATTGAACTATACTATATAAAATAAGTATGAAGTCGGTAGTCGAATAGAGTGCCGGAAGTGAGGCTTAGAGTTTAAGAGATATAATAAATATAAGGGAAATATATTTATTACAATAAACAGGAACTAGACTTTTTGAGATAAGAATAAGATAATGTTTATTAAGAGAAATAGTGGGTTATATTTATAGTAATTGAGTTTTCTAGTTATTACAGTCTGAATGTCATGGTGAAGGATTGTTAGTCATATTATCACATTGCATAATGTTAGTCATAATGGTTGTGTAAATATTATAACACCGATGAGTGAACCGATGACATCGACGTTTCACGACATCCGGGGGATTAAGAAGGAGCAACACCGTTGTCTTCTTGAAAGTACTTCTTCATTCGGCTTGCATGTATGTTGGACCACTTCTTGTTGTTATTGTCGATCTCGAGGACATCAAACCGATCGGGAGAGAGGATCTTGCTATTCTTGAAGGGACCACGGAAAGAACGAACCAACTTAGCCGAACGTTTACCAGCTGCGCTTGATTGAACCGGAAAGTCGATTAACACCAGATCACCCAGCAAGAGATTTGGACTGGTACGGTGTTCGTTGTAAGTAGCAGCATTGTGAGCGCGTGTTCTATCATTTTCTAACTGTACTATAGCTAAAGCGCGACCGAGAAATTTCTTGACCTGTTGTTTGTATTCTTGTGCCGGTATCGTAGTGATAGGGAAATTAGGTGTGGCAAGAGTACGAGCTTCGTGACCATGGACCAGAGAAAATGGAGAGAACTTAGTGGCATCGTGAATACTAGAGTTATACGCCAGCTGGAATTCATTCAAGTGCTCGTCCCAAGTAACTTGCTGATAGTCTAAATCTATGAATGAGACAATTAAATTCTTCAGAGTGGCCATAAACCGTTCTACCAACCCGTTGGAGCTAGCGTGATAAGCTGGTGCAAACTTCTGTTTGATTGAGAGGTGGATGCACAACGATTTCAAGAGAGTACCTGCATAAGGGTTGCCATTGTCACTCATCATCGATTTGAAGATACCATGTTCAGCGATGACCTTACTGAGGCACTTGACTACCTGACGATCCGTGTTTTCAGGTACAGCCGTTATCACCACATACCGAGAGAAAATGCACTGTATAACTATGATGTATTTGTTGCCAGACCGCGAGGTGGGGAGAGGACCGAAGGAGTCAATAGCAATTGTATCGAAGGGATTAAGTGCAGGTGTTGAGTGTACAAGGCTTGTAGAACTGAGGGTAACATGGGATTTCTTTACCTTTTGACAGACTGAGCAAGCGTTAACTTTGTTTTTGACCCATTCACTTTGTTTAGGAAAGTAGTAGAGTCGAGAGAACCGTTGTAGTGTACGTCCAGCACCAAGATGTCCTGTCGTTGGATTGGAATGTAACAACTCTAATGTGTCAAGCCATAGTGATTGTGGTAGCACCGGCCGGGTGCGAAAGAAGAGGATACCAGACTCGTCAGAAAAGGGCAAGGGTAACGGAGTCGACGCACAAAGGTCTTGACAGAAGGAGTCACTGGCTTGATCTGCTGCTGCGAGGTCCGAAGTGGATAAACTGCAAATGATAGCTTGACTAGTAGATGGGTCAGAGTCAACCGGGTAGCGACTCAAAGCATCAGGACCAGCGTTTTTGGAACCAGGACGATACACGATCTTGAACTCGTATGCTTGTAATTCGAGAGCCCAACGACCAAGACGACCTCGTAAGTCTGTACGTTTGTTTTGAAGAGCCTGAAGAGCTTGGTGATCGGTTACGACAGTAAACTTGGTAGAAGTCAAGTAGTGAGCAAACTTTTTTATACCCCAAATGATTGCTAGATGAAATAGTCGATTAACACAAGTATAAATACGAGACAGAAAAAAGATGAGCTTTATTAAAAATAGGATAAAACTTGATATTTAAACCAGGCTCGGAACTTCAAATAAAGAAGTCCCAAGTATATGTATATTATACTTCAACTACAACACTAGAGCCTCAACTTCAGAGACACCATAGTTCTTTTCAGCAGGTGATAAAGACCGGGAAGCAAAAGAGACAGCGAAAGCACGGTTGCTAACAGGATCACGTTGGCATAAGATCACCCCAATGCCGGCACTGCAAGCACCATCGGTATGCAACTCGAAAGGAGCTGAAAAATCCGGAAAGCGTAGGACAGGAGCAGATATCAGTTTGGCCTTAAGAGTCTCGTAGGCTTGTTGATGGACAGGTAGCCATTCTCACAGAGCGTCTTTCTTCAGTAAACTATTCAGAGGAGCAGATATCACCGAGAATTTCCCAATAAAACTTCGATAATAACCAGCGAGACCGAGGAACGAGCGTAGAGTTTCGACATTAGAAGGCGTAGGAAAAGAAGACACAGCTCGAATCTTTTCAGGATCGGTGTGTAACCCGGTAGGCGAGATAACATATCCAAGGAAGGAGATACGATCGGTTCCAAACTTACATTTGCGCAAGTTGATAGATAAATGTGCTGCACGAAGACGAGAGAAAACCGAACGAAGATCCTGAATATGTTGATCAAAAGAGGCTGAGAAAATTACAATATCATCTACGTATACCAAACAACATTGCCATTTTAAACCAGCCAGTATAGAATCCATCAGACGCTGCATGGTGGCAGATGCGTTACAGAGGCCAAATGGCATACGAACGAATTCATAGAGACCATTACGACAGATGAATGCGGATTTAGGGATACTTTCCTCGTCAAGTTCGATTTGCCAGTATAATGAAGTGAGATCCAGCGTGGAGAATATACGAGCATTACCGAGACTATGGAGCGTATCATCAATTCGAGGTAAAGGATATACATCCCGGGTGGTAATAGCATTAATGCGGCGGTAGTCGACACAAAATCTTGGAGAGCCATCATGTTTGGTAACCAGCACAACACCTGAAGCCCAGGGCGAATTACTCTCGCGAAGGATACCTTGTTCCAACATGTCCTCGAGTAGACCAGCAATAGTCTCGTTTTCGGCAGCAGATACACGATAAGGGGCTAACGATAGTGGCCGATGGTCACCAGTGTTGATGTGGTGTTCCACCAAGGGAGTCACCGATGAGGCTTTTGAAGCAAAACAATCTGAATATTCACCCAAAAGATCTTTCAAAGCACCAGCCTCAGAGCCAGACAGACCTTCACCTATGGAAGGTGTGAAATCAAGAGGTACAGTAGACGTACTAGGTGAAGACTTAGGATCTGAAGGAGGACTAGACTGAGAAAGATTTTTAGAAGAAATAGAATGTAGTTCAAAAGACGAAGGTAAATACTCATAAGAAGCGATATGCTGACCTTTATTTATAATAACATCGGTGGTGTTTAAATTAGCTATTTTTACTATGGCCGTGCCAGAAGAATCAAATTGGACAACGCCAGCAGCAACAGACAAGAGTTTTTCCAAGGTCACGTCTTGTGGAGTAGATACGAACGCGAGTCGGTTTGCAGGACCCTTGATATCAACATATGCGTGATGGAACCCTGGTAGACGGAGAGTAGTAGCCATTGAACACACCTTAGCAACCACGGGGACACCAGACGGAGGAACACCAGGGGAGTCACCAGAGATAGCCTTGGGGATACGGACTTCGTTGGAAGCGGTATCGATCACAGCACGAAGAGCCTTCAAATCCGGGTATCCGATAATTACTTCATGAGCTAACTCATGTACAATATGACAAGTGAGCACAACCGCCAGTTCACCTATCAGACAGGAAACCTTAGCGACACCGAGGGATTGATTCGGCTGGTTGTTGGCCGTGGTAAAAGAAATCTTGTACCGCTCATCATATTGTAAGTTAAGTGATTCAGCAAGAGATAAACGCATTACCGTTACAGATGCACCAGTGTCAATCAGGGCGGCTGCAGTAATGCTACCGAAACGAACTGTAACTCGAGGTGTAGCAGCTGAGGAAGATGTAGCAATCGAAATACTATGGACACCAGGGAAGGTGTATACCGGATCATCATCGATGGGTATAACAGCGTAGTTGGGCATGTCAATGGAGCTTACATAGCGTACTGTCGAACACGTACTGTCAGTGGGTAGTAGAGCAGGAGTGGATGGAGACTGTTTGGGATGGAGATAAAATGTAAATTAAGGTAACAAAAGAAAATACTGTTAGAACTTTGTATATCTTTTATTTCGAGAAAATTTAGATTGGGGAATTCTACTAGCAAAAACTACAGGTATTTATACTAAATGATTAGATGGCTTTCGGATAATATATGTGACGCGTTAGAGGAATATGATATAATGTTATACGTAATGTCTGTTTAAACAAATAGGTTATGAAGTAATTCCTGCCTTACAAAGTAAAGACAAAAGTACGTGAGGATCTAAATTCATCTCCGCAGGTGCCATTACGTAAATGCCAAAGAGAAAGTTTAGTGCGTGCAATATTCAGTAACCGAATATTCCGCCTATGGGATTGTACTATACTTTTATGGTATTATAATATTTTACTCGTCACAAGGCAAATCACCTTGTGCACAGACACCAACGGTTCTGATGATAACAAATGGGGCGAAGTGTTAGCCATGAATATTTATACATGATCATCCATTATTATGTAAAATGTGATGATTCTTTTATTATAATCTATGACATACTCAACAGAGACGAGGAGTCAATGCCATGGACTTGTTTAGGCTTCCATTGATTACGACCAGAGTTATTACCGCGATTGTTACTTTGGGATCGGCATTTCTTGGTTAAATGACCAATAGCGTTGCAATGGCCACAAATAGGTTGACCATCCTCAGCCCAACGACGCATTGGGTCTTGATCTTTACCCTGGTTGGTACGGCGTTGATGTTGGATGGCATCGATATTCATAGGCGTGGGTTCCGAAGGGCCAGTTTCAGCAGGAGCGGTGAAATGTGGAGCTCCGAGAAAATGATCGTTACCAAGATGTAGGACAGATTCACGAATAGCAGCGGCAGTAGCCAGAGTCTTCCAAGTATCTTCCGGTGCAATTATAGACATCAACGCGTTACGGAGTTCAACTCGAAGATTGGCAAAAAAAAATATGTCTTAAGACATCATCTGGTACAGTGTGAGATTCAGGGAAGTCCTCAACAATGGTTTCAAAGTTCATGCGGTATTCAGCTACGCGGCGGGAACCTTGTTTAAGAGCTTCAAGCTTTCGACGGCACAATGTCTTTTGTAGCAGAGGGTCGATACCATAGACACTTTCAAGCTTAGAACGAACATCCTTAGCGCTAGTCAAGTTGGCAACGCGTAACAACCAGTCGATGGCTTCTTGAGGTAAATATTTCAACAATTGCATGTTACGGCTTCCTTCATTGTTCATACCAAGAGCTTTAGGAGCCAGATGGAATTGTTTGATCCAAGCAGTAATATCTTGGCCGGGTTGGAAAGGAGGAACAAGTGCGGTATTATTGACACGTTGTTCGGCCATCATGGATGCGAATGCATGGACGTCTTGATTGGTTGCAAGCGGATCTGCAGGAACAGGAGTAGGAGTAAGAATAGGAGTAGTCATATGGGGACTGAGAGAGCGATGTATAAGGTAAATACAGAGAGTTAGAGATCAGAGATAGTTAGATAGTTAGATATAGGCAGCGGCGCAGGAAAAGAGCAGCTACTCCACCATATAATAAGTATGAAGTCGGTAGTCGAATAGAGTGCCGGAAGTGAGGCTTAGAGTTTAAGAGATATAATAAATATAAGGGAAATATAATTATTACAATAAACAGGAACTAGACTTTTTGAGATAAGAATAAGATAATGTTTATTAAGAGAAATAGTGGGTTATATTTATAGTAATTGAGTTTTCTAGTTATTACAGTCTGAATGTCATGGTGAAGGATTGTTAGCCATATTATCACATAGCATAATGTTAGTCATAATGGTTGTGTAAATATTATAACACCGATGAGTGAACCGATGACATCGACGTTTCACGACATATATCTTTGACGTAAACGGATCCGCGTGCCAAAATTGTTTTTGGTAACCCAACATGAACACTCACCTCAACACGAATGAATAAGAATAAAATTGAGAAGTTTCACAAGGTATGATAAAGTACGGCGTACGCTATAATACATAGAGTAAAGTGTAAACGAGTAAGATCCTATAACCATGGAAGCTTATTGATAGTTTATACTAAGTACAACCAGTACAAATGTTTGGCTTAATCAGGTTCAGCTTAAATTTTGTATCATTTATTTAAGAAGACTGAATTTTTTAGATGCGTTTGGTAATCTACATTTGATGTAAGTCTAAGCCATTGTCACACCACCATTTTCTTCTTCTGTTGGTCCTTTCTGACCTCAGATGTCTTATTTTTTTTTGACTGCTTTTTGGTCCTTTTCTTATAAAAGGACCATAAAATTATTTAATAAAATCTTTAGTTTGTTCTTTACTATAATCTGATTTAGTCTTATTCATACAAGCCTGGTTTCATTATAAATTTATATAACTACTATAATTGTACGAAAGCCCTTCTTATAAATCAGCACTGAATAGTCTTAACAGTTGTATTTTACTATACTTCTTCGAAGACACGGATAACACATTCGTCGTAGCATTTCCCTCTTATATCTTTATATCTTCTTTTATCTTAGTTGACAACTTATAGTCTGGTGCTCACTTTTTAAGAACTTTTATCTTACTCTCTTTCTTTATTTCACGTTACCGCTTTTACATTTAAACAAGCCAGTAACAATATTTTCCTAACTGCTTAATTCAATAAAAATCAAGTAAAAATCAGAAAATACTGTAAACTTGCATCCAATTTAATAAGTTAATGGAAAAGATCTCCAAAAATTTGGGTGCCCTTGGGCACCCAAATTTAGTTGAATTAAATGCAAAATTCGGTCAATTAAATGATCATTTTTGAACAATGGCCCAACTATGGCTATACGGTCATGCTACTTAAAGTAGTCAAAAATACACTATTTTCATAAATTATTCGCACACTCGAGGAAAAAAATTGCTCACTTTTTTTTCAATTTCCGCACACTTTTTTATTTATTTTTTGCCCGCTTCACAAATTATTTTTTGCTCACTTTTTTAAAAACAAATTGCTCACTTTCAATAATAAATTTTGCTCATTCTTAGAAATTCATTGAAGTAAGATGGACCTCAAATTTTATCAAGAAGATGGACAGGGTAATGTTGTGGATGAGCATGGCAATGAACCCGTTGAAATGGATGTTGATGGCGATGCTTATCCTCTCGCTGACACCGTTGACTTTGATAATTACATGGATTTCAAACCACCTGAAAAGCCAAAGCCAACACCTAAAGCGCCAAAAAACCGTTCTTCGGCTTCAACTGGACCAGCAGCTTATTATAAAAAGCATGCAGACGATGTTAAGGTCATTTTTTTCACCTCGTTTATGAAGAGGGATTAACTGCAGGAAAAGCAGCAAAGCAACTCGGTGTTGCCCGACAAACTGCTTATGACTGGTTGAAAAAAGATCAGGATCAGATCTATGAAACAGCAAAGCCTTTGGATGAATTAGAACCAGTTAAGCCTGAGAAAAAGGCTGGGAGACCAGCTTTGTTGAATGAAGAGCACAAAAAGCATTTGGAAGAAACATTTATCGACCACCCTTCGGCAACGTTGGATCAGGCTATGGAAAGTCTTACTAGTCAGTTCAGCGACCTGAAAGTAACAAAAACTACCGTTTATAATTTCATGACAGATCAATGTGCCTTGTCTTTTAAGAAAGCACACTTCCATTCGAAAGAAAGAAACTCGTCTATTAACATTGAAAAGAGGTTTGATTGGGTAACTAGATGGAGCCAAACAGACATGGATTACAGCAGTAATTGCGTTTTCATTGATGAGTCTGCATTCCATATTAATTTGAAAAGAACAATGGCTTGGTCAAAAAAGGGAGTTCGGGCTTGTGGAGAAACTTTGTTTAACACAGAAAAAAAATAGATAAAAAACAGGTAAATAAGATTAATAGTGCTTGTAGGCTTTTATTCTTATTATTAGTTTTAAAACTGAATGACCTTGTACATTATAGTAGAAGGCAGGGTATTTATAGTTATTGGGATCTGTAGTTTAAACGGTTATCTAATAGTTAGTGAAGGTACCATTGGGTGGTATAATACATGTCCGATGGTGCCTTAAATTTAAGCAGTCATTGCCTTTATGATTGGATTGATTCGTAAACAATGAGCTAGTCTTATTGTTCTGTCAGAATTGAGAGGACGATGGTTCTAAGAAATCTTAAGTCAAACGGAGTTCTAAAGTAGTAACTCAGTTTTTATACCTGATGTTCTTTTCTTTTGTGATATTGTATTTGGTACATGAGTCGACCATGTGGGATCGACGATTTATTTATTTTATTTTATTATTTATAAGTGCGATTTTAGCACAGGGCTGAGGTTATTCAACCACTAACAAGAGCCATGACAACAACAATTTTGGGTGCTATATCGCCATATGGCGTTGTCAATGTCAAGATAAGAGTGCGATACTCAACGGTTTCAAAGAAAAGAAAAACAGCTGGTGGTAGTAAGATGCAGAAAACCACTGGGACTGTTACCGGACATTATTTTAATTTTATCGCCTGTACAATTGATGTGATGGATCGTCATGAGGAATTCAAAGGGCATTATCTTATCATGGATAATGCGCCTATCCATACGTCAGATAATATTAGAAAGTTTATCGAAAGTCGTGGGTATGACTGTGTTTATCTTCCACCATATTCTCCTGAGCTCAACCCTATCGAACAATTTTGGTCCGTTGTTAAGAGTAAATTAAAACGGGAAAAGCTTTTAGAGGCCGAAACACTGAACAATAGAATTGCTGAAGCATGTCAGAATGTTTTATTAAGCGATTTAAAGGGATTCTGCCGTTATTCAGAAACAAAATTCGAAACCTGTTTAAATAAAGACCCCCTCTAAAATATTTCGCACACATTGAGCAAAAAAAAATATCTGAAACTGAGCAAAATATTTTTCAAAAAGTGAGCAAAAATTAAATTCGAAAGTGAGCAAAAAATAAAAAAAAATGTGTGCGGAAATTGAAAAAAAAAATGAGCAATTTTTTTCTTATACTGTTGTTACAATGCGGATTTTCAATATGTAATAATTGACTTCAACACTAAAAACTTTACTCAGACAATTTATATTTTTCATGCTAACTTTTAGCATTGTACTTCTCTAACTTGAATCCTTACCTTTTTATATTTAAAACCTTTTGACAAATTTATTATTATTATCATTTATCCAAAATCAAGGGTATCGTTACCGATCCTTTGATTTCTCAAAAACTATATAAACCTTAAAACAAAACATACTTCAATAAACATTCAGATTTTACTATATACTTTTATCATAAACTTGCCTATCAAATATTATATCTTCTATATATAATTGGCCCATTATCTTACTGTCTCCCTAGAAAAACCGAAGCCTTAGTCTCTTTTTCTCTGTATCTGTCTATTAAGACCTTTTATTTTATTTTACTTAACTGGATCGTTACCATATATATTTATTATATATTTATATAAAACAACGTGGTGCTCACTTAGAACTGAATAATTAACTACAAACGTATATTATTCTCCTTCTACCTTACTGTCAAACTAAATCTAAACCAATCACTACCACTCACATTGTATCACTGTGCGAATAATTTATGAAAATAGTGTATATTTTAATAAAAACAACTTTCTTTCAATCAAAAGTTACTTGAGGCTCACATTGACATCAAGACAAAATTAATAATTATTTAAAAGCAGTCACGACAGCGGTCTGACACCGACAAAAGTGGCAAAAGTGAAAAGAGTGGGATTTGAACCCACGCCTCCGAAGAGATCACGACCTTAACGTGACGCCTTAGACCAGCTCGGCCATCTTTCCATATGCCTTTGTCAAGCCTGTAAATGTCGATGGATCTGATGCCTCAAAGATTCACGTGACTAGCCGGGTTAGTCCGACCCAAAGTCCGGACCTTGACGTAGACATGCCTCTAGAAATCGAGCTTAGGCTCAAGAAGACCAAGAACCAGAAAAGACGATTTGTACCACTCAAGAATAATCATATGAATCGGAAAAGGTCAAAGCTGAATAACACCACTTTATTGTATACAACATAACACCACTTCGGGTTCACCTATTTCATATCGATAACCTGTTTATATTATTCATCATCATTATCATTATCATCATCATCTTCACATTTATTATTATATTTATCACATCACCTATATCTTTACATTTAGTATATATATCCCTTAACATTAGAACAATAAACCATTATCTTCTATTTGAATATTAAATACTTCTTTAACTACTTTCCCATTCTAATTAACCACTGAGAGTTGAATTAGAATAACATTGAACTTACACCTTTGTCAAGTCTGTAAATGTCGATGGATCTGATGTCTCAAAGAATCACGTGACTAGCCGGGTTAGTCCGACCCGAAGTCCGGACCTTGACGTAGACATGCCTCTAGAAATTGAACTTAGGCTCAAGAAGACCAAGAACCAGAAAAGACGATTTGTACCACTCAAGAATAATCATATGAATCGGAAAAGGTCAAAGCTGAATAACACCACTTTATTATATACAACATAACACCACTTCGGGTTCACCTATTTCACATCGATAACCTGTTTATATTATTCATCATCATTATCATTATCATCATCATCATCATATTTATTATTATATTTATCACATCACCTATATCTTTACATTTAGTATATATGTCCCTTAACATTAGAACAATAAACCATTATCTTCTATTTTAGTATTAAATACTTATTTACCTATTTCCCTTCTAATTAACCACTGAGAGTTGAATTAGAATTATATTGAAACTTACACCTTGATAAGTTCCTGCGTGTCTTTATGTTTACCTTTGTAAAGATATATTACGAGAGAGTAAACAAATGTGTAGATGAATACTAAAAGGAGACTGTAAAGACTTAAAGATTTAAATACACAGACAGTTATAGGAGAGATTTGCACTAGTAAGCTAAGGAAATCTGCCAAAGTAGTTATCTCGAGGAAATATGAAGAACTTCCAAAAATAAGACTCGGAATAAGATTATTTTTTATTGATTTACAAATTTAATGCTATTTTTATAGCTGTCAAATTTAACCCAAAATCACTCAAGAAAATTAAACCATAATTATTTACAGAATTAATTATCCGGATACCATCCTGAGATATAAATTTAACGGATAAATCATACGCGTTCCCAGATAGACCAAAAATAGACTTAACATACAGCAAACAGGGTACTCGAACGGTAATAACGGTATTTACCAAAGTAATCATAACACAAGAATGTAAGAATAAAATATTTACTCTCAGAAAAAAAAGAAACAATCCCCACCAGGATTCGAATTCAGAACACCTTAGAAACTCCAACCAATAAGATACCCTGCACGCGGATATCACGTGACTGAACGAAGTGACGTCAAAAGCGACATGACCAAAACACGAACGTATCAGCCTTTGTTGAGCCTGTAAATATTGATGGATCAAATGCCTTAAATAATCACGTGACTAGCCGGGTTAGTCCGACCCGAAGTCCGGAACTTGACGTAGACATGCCTCTAGAAATTGAACTTAGGCTTAAGAAGACCAAGAACCAGAAAAGGAGATTTGTACCAGTCAAGAATAATCACATGAATAGGAAAAGGCCCAAACCGAATAACACCACTTAAATGTATATACATAACGCCACTTCGGGTTCACCTATTTCACATCAACAACCTGTTTATATTACTCATCATCATTACTATTATTACTATTATTACCATCACCATACCTTATTATTATATTTATCACATCACCTATATCTTTACATTTAGTATATATATCCCTTAACATTAGAACAATAAACCATTATCTTCTATTTCAGTATTAAATACTTATTTACCTATTTCCCCTTCTAATTAACCACTGAGAGTTGAATTAGAACTATATTGAAGCTTACATTTTTGTCAAGCCCACAATTGTCGATGGTTCTGATGCTTCTCTATGTTTGGGATGGAGATAAAATGTAAATTAAGGTAACAAAAGAAAATATTGTTAGAACTGTGTATATCTTTTATTTCGAGAAAATTTAGATTAGGGAATTCTACTAGCAAAAACTAAAGGTATTTATACTGAATGATTAGATGGCTTTCGGATAATATATGTGACGCGTTAGAGGAATATGATATGATGTTATACGTAATGTCTGTTTAAATAAATATGTTATGAAGTAATTCCTGCCTTACAAAGTAAAGACAAAAGTATGTGAGGATTAAAATTCATCTCCGCAGGTTACATTACGTAAATGCTAAAGAGAAAGTTTAGTGCGTATAATATTCAGTAACCGAATATTCCGCCTATGGGATTGTACGATACTCTTATGGTATTATAATGTTTTACTCGTCACAAGGCGAATCACCTTGTGCATAGACACCAACGGTTCTGATGATAACAAATGGGGCGAAGTGTGAGCCATGAATATCTATACATGATCATCCATTATTATGTAAATGTGATGATTCCTTTATTATATCTGTCGTATTTGGGTATGATTTATTTGAGAATAAACAAATAAATCGAATAAATAATAAAAACATGGAATAAAAACATCCTTTAATATTGAGTAACAGCATACACCTGTATACTGCTACACAACGACTCCTACTATGAGTACATATTTCTATATAAAAAGATTGCATGGTTGGCTTAAAATTGATATACGAATGACAGTTGGATATAGAATTCTATACCACTGAGTTACGATATCACCGATCAAATCAAGATGTGGTGATCTGCTATATTGTTGCTACATTAAATAAATCCATATCTATGACATCAATACATTAAGAATGATTAAGGAATCAATTACCCAATATAGATAGTTAGTACTATCATATCACAAGGTTACAAGAACACAGTGACAAAGGCTTACTAAAGATATGGAAGTACAATGTGTCTAAGATGACAGTAATTCCAAGTGTAACATATTTACAAAATAAGCAGTTAAAGGTAACAGGATACACACTGGGAAAATGATAACAAATTCAAAGATACACTAAAGATAGTGGTACAGCAGATAGTCTTTTTTATATAAATACTTGTTCATTTTATGTCATAATAAAGAGAATCTTATAAACAGTCTCAAATTATTCATAAATTGCCTTATAATTTTTACTTACCTCAAAACACAACACAAGAAATATAAGAAAGAGAAACTTAATATTAATAGTTCTCTCAATGGGTCAGCTACCCATAGAGAGAATAGAACAGCTATATATATAAATGGTTCATTTACGTATATATTGATAAACACAACTTATACGACTGTAAGTGTATAAGAGAAGTAGTGCATGGAATATTTGGATGCCTATTTTCTACAACTAAATATACAAACATCGATAAGATGTTCTATATTTAGGATCACATATTTACCCATGTCTTAGATAAAAATAATCAACAGAATGGATAAATGATCAGACATAACTACATATTCTACAACAGCCAATTAAACACAAAAACCTTATGCATCTTTTAACTAGCCACCGTTACACAATATCTTACACCTAGGCTAAAAAAACTTACTTTAACAGAGTAAATGCGGACGAATGGGCGAATAGTCGTCTGGGGGTAAGCATTCGTTCAAATCTGAGCGGATAGTCGTCCGTGAGCGAGTATCCGTTTATTTTGGGTAAATAAACAATGGTACACAAAAAATAAAATTACTTCATTTACTCAAAAAGGGTAAATATTCGTCCAGGGGTAACTGTTCGTTCATTTTGAGTAAAATATAAAGGTTGCACAAAAATTTAAGCTTTTTTATTCGTTCCATTTACCTGCAGCAGACGAGTATTCGTCTATGAGCGAGTACTTACTCACATTGGGTAAATAAAAATTACTTTACTCGTTCCATTTACCTTCAGCAGACGAGTATTCGTCTATGAGCGAGTACTTACTCACATTGAGTAAATTAAAATTACTTCATCCGTTCCACTTTCCTGCAGCAGACGAGCATTCGTCTACGGGCGAGTACTTACTCACATTGGGTAAATAAAAATTACTTTATTCGTTCCATTTACCTGCAGCAGACGAGTATTCGTCTATGAGCGAGTACTTACTCACATTGAGTAAATAAAAATTATTTCATCCGTTCCATTTACCTGCAGCAGACGAGTATTCGTCTATGGGCGAATACTTACTCATTTGAGTAATAAAAAAAAAGGAACACCCTAAAACCTAAAAATTGCCTGAATTATCTCATTTGTCTTAACTGGATAAGCATTCGTCTATAACTATCAAGTTACTAATTTGCTTAAAATTAAATAAGCAAACGGAACATCCAACACTAAAGGTCGCCCATCCCATTAACCATGGTGCGGTGTATATCCCATAAAAATAAAAGAATAGCTGGCGTGGTTTAAAAAAATCGTGAAAGGGGGATTTATTAATTAGCAAAGGTTGGATATTTTTCCTGCTGTTTTCTTCATGTCCTCATCAAAGCTAGTAGAAGATGAAATGACAAATAGAGAACTAGAATCTTGGTATGTTACTTTCTTTCCATTCACTGAATGTGTCACCATTTTCAGCAATCCCACAACTGTCACAATGTCCGCAATGTTAATAACAACTATTTTTTTTTCTTCGTTATTTTCGTAGGGTACAACAGTTGGAATGCAAGGGCTATGCTGGGCAGCGGAATGTCTCTTCATGACTTCAAGTACTGCGTAAAAACTGGATGTTTCATCAAATGCGTATTCAAAAAAGAATAACAGCCTACCCACATACCAGTTAGTCACCTGTGAAATACTGCCTCGTCTATTGATAGTATTGTTAGTTTAGCTTTTATGAAAAAAGCTGAAACTTACCTTCTCGTCTGGTGATTCGAATGCAACAGAACATGCTCACCACCACGTTTTGCAATGGACTTTGATAACCCTTGTTTAAAGATGGCAGCGGAATATACGTGTGAATCTTGCCAAAGCTTACCAGCGGGAAGAATAGATTCCACATTGATTTGGATTCGATGAATAGGCTCTGGTAAACTAAAAAACCGTTTCTTGTACGATTTTAAAGCGCTGACAAACGATTTCATAGTCAGGAGATCACCAGCAATAAGGCAATCATTATCGGCATTGCCAGTCAATTCAAATTCTTGATAAAATGGAGCCCATAACTGACCAAAGTCCACATTACCAGAAGGATGTTCTACGAAGTCGGTTTCTAGTTTGGGGGGAGTTGGATCAAAGTTCACCATCTTTGTATTTCGTATGAAAGAAAAAAGAGCCGTTCGTTCCATAATGTTGTTGGCATTTTCACCAGCATTGACTCTTGATCTCATTTTTTTTTTGTAAGCTCCTGTAAAAGTATGTAAGAGTATAATCAAAAATCTTTAATTCGTATAACTAACCTATTTCTCTTTCTATGGATCTGACAGACACACAACAAAGAATAGAACATTGTTTTATAATAAATGTGATGTGGTTAAGTTGGTGCATGTTCACTTTGTAAATACAGTTGGATATACACTTTTCGCTTATCAGCTTGTCAATAAATTGGAACCAATGATTGAAGGACCTGTTGTGTTTTGAGGTAAGTAAAAATTGTAAGGCAGTATGTAAGTAATTTGAGACTGTTTATAAGATTGTCTTTATTATGAAATAAAATGAACAAGTATTTATATAAAAAAGACTATCTGCTGTACCACTATCTTTAGTGTATCTTTGAAGTTTTTATCATTTTCCCAGTGTGTATCCTGTTACCTTTAACTGCTTATTTTGTAAATATGTTACACTTGGAATTACTGTCATCTTAGACACATTGTACTTCCATATCTTTAGTAAGCCTTTGTCACTGTGTTCTTGTAACCTTGTGATATGATAGTACTAACTATCTATATTGGGTAATTGATTCCTTAGTCATTCTTAATGTATTGATGTCATAGATATAGGTTTATTTAATGTAGCAACAATATAGCAGATCACCACAGGACCTGCATAAAGAAACGGATAAAAATAATCAGTTTAAGGAATGTTAAGAGGTGCATATCGGATCGACCTACTTGTCTATTTGCTTGATATCATCTTCGGTGATTCGGAACTGTAACGATAATGATATGCCTCGTACCAGGTTAAGGAATCCGTCAATCACAACAGTGTCATCAAACTGTGATACAATCAGAGTTGGTACACAATAAAGCAGCCAATCCAGCCACTCAGCAGAACGATAAAGTGCCTTGACATTGTTAGGCTCCATTGCCAACCAACTACCTTTGAAACAAGATGCTGGTATGAGTTGTCTAGATCCTTCCATGCTCTTTTTGATGGCTGTGAACGAGGTATTAGACAAATTAAATGGATAATCTGTTTCCTTTCCACAGTATTTGAAATGAAGGTTGTACTTTGGAGAAAGCATGGAAAAAACATCTTTGGCAATGTTAGAAAACAGATGCATCTCATCAATTGGATGAAAAGCAACCGACGTAAAAGAGACTAGATCCCCAAAAACACTAGGAAGATTAATGTTGTAGTCGTTATTTGCCTAATGTGATGAAATGATAAATAGAGGATAACATACGCAAACACTATCATACTTACATAGACTTCACTATCGTCTTTTTTCAACAAACTATCCCTTGATCTCATCAACGCTTTTCCATCCTGAAAATACATACCATGGGTCCCCTCGCCAACAATCCCGTCTTTGTTTTTTACATCGCCTATATGCTTTCCCTTTGTCAAACAAAACCTGCAGCCATATGTTGAACAATGACCACCAAAATTCATTAACTCGTTACATTGAACACCATCACCAGAAACATACATAGTCGTTACTCTACTAATTGCAACTTGCTGTCCGTTTCGCTTGACCAGAAGAGGCTTGGAGTGTAACTCAGATAATTCTTTGATAATTGGTCGCAAATACGAGTTAAGATTGAGCTTGACTTGGCCAAAAACAATACCGATTTGGAAAGTATTTTCTCGAGTAAAACGCTATGATAATGTAAGTATACCTCAATTTAGCTGGATTCGTTTTTACTTACTTCCGAAATATCATAGTTTAAAATTACACAATGGATCATCGTCATCTTCGTGCTCGAAAACTTGCTGCGAAAGCCATCAATGTCAATCTTTAAAGCAATGTCATACTTATTGTCAAAATGCCCGTCCTTTACAAATTTTGCATAGAGCTCTCCATCAAAGGCATCCCTGTAAATTGTTTCTTGCGATGGCTGCAAAATTTCTGAGTTGGGATATTCTTCGAATCGGTATGCTAGTCTTTCCCTTACATCATCACAAGCTAAAAGCTCGGACAATTTGGCTGCGATATTTATGGTCTTTAGCTCTTTCTTGATATTTCTAGAAAAATCACAAATGGGACAAGAAATAAGATCAACATCCTTTATAGCGTCATACAAGTAACATCCATTAGTAGCACAAATTTCATGGTTATCGACAAGATTCATCGGTACCACTCGTTTGATGAGTTTATCACAAGCTTCACGATTAAGTAATTTGCTCGATTTGTCTATGGTAAAATATTTTAGCACTGTTGATAAATTGTATTCAGTATTATTGAAGTTCTTATATTTACCAATTTTTTTATCAGACAACATGTTATTGAATAACTTTATCAGTTGCCTATGATCTTCGCGACAAATATTTCTCTCTTCACAAATATTTGAAAGGCGGATACTGTATTCTTGAGCTGGACTAAAGGGATTGGACGGAATAAAGACATCACGCACAGTATAAATAGACTCGTCGTCTTCGCAACAAGTGGGGATATTTTCAGAAATGTCTTAAAATATGGGCCATGTAAGTATCATCTCCTTCATTTACTTATTTTATTGTACATACCTTCATTATTGTCACTAAACGAATCCATCCCTGGCGCATCAAATCCAGCAGTATCTTCGAAATCATTCGAGTCGGTGAAAAATGTATCTTCAAACATTTCATCATGCTCTTCATGAACCCACTCATTTTGGTCTAACCCTTCAAAGTTGAGATAGCTAGGAGGACTTTCGCGGGGAGCATCCTTAGACATGTTATGGGTATCTGTTGGAACAGATGACGAATCAACTTGAGCAAGACTTTCAGAGTACCTGGACAAGCATTTAAAAAGCACAGCCGTAGGAGCATTGGTTCGAGCTCTTTTATATTTTCTTTGACTAGTGTTGTTTGGGGGCGTTTGCATTGTAAATATGGTGGTAATTTAATTTTTCGGTCGATTTTCCTCATCGTTTTATATCGAAAAATAGACGCTTCGCTTCGGGCTTGTTCTACATTAGGTAATTTGTCATTTTTAAACACGCATAACGAGCTATCACTCATAATACTTTGACGTAGTTACGGTGCGTCGTTACCTCCTATGGAACGTTTGGTATAAAAACAGTACTCTTTGACATTACAAACAAGTTTACATTAGTGTAAAACGACAAGATTCTTTTTTTTTGTCAGTCGGAATGACCATCTCAAATATTCCCATGTAAGTTGGTAACATACCCAGTGCATTGCTTACCAGCCTTTTAACATCTCTTTATTTTAAAACGCGTTATCACTGTCAATGATTACGAGTAATCCTTCACTGCAAAGTTTTCGGTAAATACGTTGCAGAATTGTGCCAAGCTTGTCAAATTGCCTGATTTGTGATGACAGCCGGTTTCCATTTTTGCCTATTTGGGACAGATTACCGAAGTGGAAAGTATAAATGCATTTTAATTTTTTTTTTTTAACTACATCTTTTTATCATCTCTTTAGAAAACTACTTAAACTATGCTTGATACCAACATCTATGACTACCAAACCTCTGCTACGCAAGGATTAAATTCTTCCTTTGATAGTCTCTTTAACTGTGCCTCCAGCTCCTCTTTCGGTCACGATCCTCTTGTAGCTGAAGTGCAATCTCTTAAGCATGAAGTTATGGAAATGAAGAACACCATTACAGAGTTAAAAGAAATGATTAAACACATGGCTGGTCACTCACGGGTTGCTGGTAAGATAATTTTAAAGAAAGAAATACCTCATACAATGCTAATTCGGTTCCAAGGTATGTCTGGTTCTACTGATCAAGAAGGCAACACGGAATTAAGAAAACTACTCAGCAGTATCTACACCGAGGAGAAGAAAAAGGCTTTGTTGAAGAACCCCAATCATTTAGGCCAACGTGTCAAAGCTAAACCCGTAGGTGTCTCTGCAAAGAACCAGGTCATTGAGGCCTCGAGAACCTACTTCGAAAGCGACGACAATATATTGGAAGGTGGTCCTGTTTCATTGAATGACAGCGAACTGGAACGTCGATACGATTTGGCATACACCGCGATGAAAAATTTCGTAATCGTTTACCTCCTTCCTCAGTTTACGCTGTATTCAGGTTTTACTTGGATGAAAATCGGGTTTGAACAACGGGAATTGTTCGCATTGATCGCTGATGATCATTTGTTCTCTTACCTTGGAGCTGATAACTGTCTGCCTCTCTTTGCTTTTTCCAAAAGTTGGGGGTCTAAAAACCTTTTGGTTGCTGCAGTCAGAAACCGCGTAAAGTCAATTCTCAAGACGAAGGTGAATACTACAATTGAAAATGTAAAGTTGGCATTGAACTAATATATAACATTTTATTAGATCCGTCCTGGAGCCTCGACAATCGCTAATGAAATAGAGGAGAGTGAAGACGAATTGGCAGGAGATATCAATACGAGTGTTTATGCAAACGAAGGTGACAATATCGAGACGTTAGACTGTGACGAGAGTGAAGAGAGTGACGAGGGTGAGGATGAAGGGGAGGATGAAGGGGAGGAAGAAAAAAGAATGGCTAGAGAAATCAAAGTTCTAGCCCAGAGAACTAGAGAGCGTGAGTTTGCTTTGGAGCAGGCTAAGCTGCGTAGAAGTGCCACTTCTAGTGATAACAATAAGAGTCCTGTTACCAAGAAGCCGCGTAAACAAAAAAATTCATCTGCCTCCAGTCATCTCTCCGTCGTTACACCAACCACTAAAAAGTACATATAAACACATTCTTTTTTTTCTTTTTTCCTTTTTTTCTTTTTTGATATCTATTTTTTATCTTTTTACATCCATAAATCAGTTTTTTTTAAAAAAAAGATTACTTTTAATCGTTCTTGTTTCTCGTAACCATGTAACTGAATAAACGTCTGGGCTTACTACTTTCGCAATTACACTCTGGTAAACTCATCATTCCATCTCTGAAGTCTCTCCCCTTACTTATCTCTCTTTTAAATCAGTATAGACAGGTGTATAAAGGCCGTGCTTGCAATGTACTACGCCAGTGCTATAAGTAAGTGTTTTTCGTTTATGGCTTTTCATTTCTCTAATTATCTCTTCAGACTTACGCTTCCTGCTTTTACCGTTGTGGCGGCTACGCTGTTTAGAAAAGGAATTAGTACGTATCAATTTTGAGTCTTCTTATCATAAACTAACCTAATATTCATTTAGAAAACTTTGCTTATCCCCCTTGTTTTTAGATTATACGTTGCTTCCTATGCAGAATAATCAATGTCTTCATGTTATGCCATGTACCGTTTACTTTTTAGCTCATTTAAGTAGTAGTCCTTCTATATAGCAATTTGTCCTCAAGTATCAAGATATAAATAAATCTTAATTTCATTCTTTTAAATATAATATATACTCAACTTTTAAAACTGCAAACCAATTTTTTCAAACGAATGAATGTATTAAATGATTTAATATGTATAAACGAAAGTTTTTTATTTGGCTGAAGGCTGAAAGGGAGAGGTTTTTTTTTTTTTTTTTTTTTTTTTTTTTTTGGGTAAATGGGTAAACGCTTACTATAAATTTGTCTAAACGAGTAAATGGGTAAATTTACCCAATTCGTTTTTTTTGGGTAAGTGGGTAAACACTTACTAAAAAATTCGTCCAAACGAGTAAATGGGTAAATTTACCCAATTCGTTTTTTTTGGGTAAGTGGGTAAACACTTACTAAAAAATTCGTCCAAACGAGTAAATGGGTAAATTTACCCAATTCGTTTTTTTTGGGTAAGTGGGTAAACACTTACTAAAAATTCGTGCAAATGGACGAATCAGGCGAAAAATTATAGCCTTGGTGTTACTGGAATTCTGTATTTTAAACAGAACAATAAGAGTGTCCCAGATCGGTTGATTCAGGGCGACGTTATTTGAAATCAATTCTAACGAGTAGAATTCATTTAATGTAAGGCGGGAAACTGAGTATAGATTTATTACAAGACCAGAAAGGTTGACTCAACACAACTACCAGGGGAAGTTGTTCAATATAAAAAGGATCAATTATTTCATCGCAGCAGAGTTCTTTTAGTCTATTTTTACCCCTAATAAAAATATACTTTTATCTCATTACTTTTCTATGCAATATTTTGTCAAATACCAGGCGGTACGCTTGTAGTAAGGGGCTTTTTAGCCAATAATATTGCCGGAACCGCTGTAACAGAGCCAATGAGGAGGCCGGAACCGCTGTAAGGGAGCCAACCAGAAGGCCAGAACCGCTGTAAACCAAAAAGAAAACTCGATATACTTACACTGTACGCAGTTTAAAAGGTTACTACACCCTGAAATGCTTTTTTAACTTTAGCTTTTAAATTCTCTTGTAACCAAATAAATACTCTGACAGCAAAACTCACATATAAAAATCTTGACATTTTTTTCTATTTCCTCTTCCTATTTTAAAAAAAAATTACAATGTTTGGCGGCAGTTCC